CAAAAGATTATATATTCTTAAATCTTCCTTTATCGTGTCTTTGTAAAACAGAACCCAAATCAAAATCATAACTATGAATTTTGCACTGAAGTAACCTCCGTGTGTGCACTTTCTGTGCCAATGAGTCTGCTGCTTCATGAGGACAGGTCCTTGCTGTTCACTGTTCCACCCCAGTGCCTCACTCACTGCCGGACGGTTCTCAGTAGGTCTTTAGTGAACACTCCGAGCCAGGGAATAAGGGTTTGCAGCCACCCTCCCTGGGAGGCCAGCGTATCTGGCTGTTGGTGTTAGGTTGCAACCTTACTCACTGGGGTCTCGCTATAGATCTCAATGATGACATGAACTTGGACTTCGAGTAAGAATAGGATTCTGGTTTTGTATTTTCTTCAAATTTTGTCTAATGGGGACTATTGGCAGACCTTTTTATATGAATTTTCTATATTTATAATATTTAGATATCATTGCACTTTATCTAAATTTTGTATGTTCTAATGGTGACACTTCAGGGATTTAAAAAAAAAAGTCATTCAATAGTTCTTCCCCTACTCCCTCTTGACAGATTTATTAATATTTTCATGTGGTTTTATAATTTCTTTTTCCTGATACGACTTTTCTCTGAACTTACATGGCTGTTTCTGAAGATTTCCCAAAATCACTCTGGCAATTGCTGTTTCAATATCATATTAAAATTTAGTTTTTGGCTCTCTATATTTGTGCCGTCTTTAATTTTTTATATGAGACTTTTTATGAACCACAAACTTGTGACGCTTTGTGGCAACTTATTTCTAACTTATCTCTTATTTCCACACCTTTAAAATAAACAGGTAGTTGAGATATTTTATATTCTCTAACCCCTTTAAAGGTGAGGCCTGAAATGAATAAGAACATCTTTTGAACCACTGATTTTTATACAAATGTCTTTTTTTCTGTGTTTTTTTTTTTTTCTATAGGACCCTATCTAACTGGACATATGAATTTGACAAATGGGCTCCTTCTGTGGTGAAAATTTCTTACAAGGTTTGGAATGCTGTATTTATATATAAATGTGGAAACGCAAAAAATAGACCCTATTTTCTTCATTCCATATGCACATCTGTGAACTGTATTTGGTTGTAAAGTTTTGTCATGTACATCATGTACTAAACCGTGAGAGTTAATCATCCCAAGAAGATTACTGTAATAAACCATAATTACTTTCAGATAGTGAAATCCAGAAGAAAATTGTTAATTATCATATTGCGAGGTTTCTGATGAGAGTAATACAAATGACAAATATCGCACATTCTGCGTGCTGCAGGCTGGCTCGCTGTGGGCTGCTGCTGTGCCGACTGTTCCTGCGAAGTCAGGCAGTTACCCGGCGCCTGGGCGCCTGCTGTACGCTCCCACAGAAATGGAGCCTTGCGGCAGAGCAGCGGGTTCTCCACTACCGCAAGGTCACTGTCGTTTCCTTTTCAGTGTCCCCTCTTCAGTGGGAAGGGTCTGAGAAGTGTCAAGACGCGTGCCATTTAGGCGAGACTTCCTTCATGGATGACGGATCAGTGTATGACAACGGCATATGTGCATTCCTCAGTCACATGTCTGGGTGTCATTAAGCTATGAATAGTGAGAAAGTACACACACATACTCCCATTCGGTAACATATTTTTCTTTCCATTCAGGGTACTCCTGCCATGCGTCGCTCTCTTGTCCCCCAGCTACGGAGTGGCAAATTCAACGTCCTTTTGACTACTTATGAGTACATTATAAAAGACAAGCACATTCTTGCAAAGGTATGCTTTAAAAGAAATTTTCATATCTCTAATTATGGTCCATCACACTGAAGTGTGAAGTATTCCTCAAGTTGGTTTTTTTGTGTGTGTGTTTTTTTTTTATTTCAGCATATTATAGGGGTATAAATATTTAGGTTACATATGTTGCCTTTGCCCCACCTGAGTCAGAGCTTCAAGCGTGTCCATTCCCCAGACGGTGCGCACTGCACCCGTTAGGTGTGAGTATACCCATTCCCTGCTACCTCTTCCCATCTGCCCAACACCAGATAAATGTACTCAATAGTTTAATTTGATCTTTAGATGACTTGCCTTTTTCTCTTTCTTTTTATTTTTTTTCGAAGTGTTCTATATATTTTGGTCATGGTTTTTAATTTTATGCATGCTATTTGTGTGTGTGTGTGCATGTGTGTGTGATCCTAGGGCTCTTACCTCGCCTCTCACAGTTAATGAGTTTACATCTCTTAAAAAAATTCACCTGGGTTCCTTCTGCAATTCTTTTCTCACCAACAGCCCTGAACATGCTCAGGAAAGAAATAATTGTTTTTGTTGCCCTGGGATATTGTCAGCGTAACTTCATTCCTCTGTGCCTCTGTCTCTCTGAAGACGAGCAGGCACCTCTCCATATGGTCTCCACCATATGAACATTTATTCGAGCTGCAGCTTTTGTGGTATCCCTGTTTTAGGTTTTTCCTGGTAAAATAATAGGCTATCATTGTTCGAATTACTCAGGGCTGTTTCCGTGACTATTTATTTGGAACTGAGAAAGAGTCGTTTCTGTGACCTACACGTCTCCTAATTTGTTTTTCTATTTATATCATCTTGTTTCCTAATATGTTCATGGAGACTGATGGAAGTACTGTCTTTCGTGGAACAAACAATGAAAACTTAATTTTTTTGTTTGGTATTTTTTTTTACCCCATGGTGTTTTGAAAGCACTGTAATCTGAAACTAAGTTATGTCCAGAATTGAACAGAATCTCTGTTTCTGGGTCTGCTCTATCTCTGCATTAAACCTTTGCTCTGGGAACTGATAATTCCCTTCGTGGCATCATAAGAAATAACATAAAGGAAATGTGTTCCCAGGGGAGGTTTAATAATTGAGATGGCACCGGCAACAATGCTGTGTTCCTGTTCTTCAGACTCAGAGATGAATTTGGCAGTGTCAGAAATGATGTGTTTTCAATATTACTATGGGAATGTGTTTGTACGTTTGAGATCCTTTTAAAAAAATTCATATTGTGTCTTCTGCATATATATTTCAAAATTCATTGGAAACACCCGGTAATGAGATACATCACTTTTATTTGTTACTGGAGAAATGGAGCTATAGAAAGGGGTAGTAATTTTTTCCAAGTGGAAGACCTAATTAGTAGTAGACCCAATAGCAAAATCAAAAGCCTCTGATTCCTTATTTATTATTTCATAAGCTAAATTAGGCAGGAAAGTAGATTTAGAATATTTATTTAAACACATTTTCATCTGCTGGCCTCTTTGCATGCTATTGGCACATTTGGAACGGTTGGTCTTACAACTTTCATTATTCTTAAACATTTTCCTTAGAGGTCGTGGAGGAAGGGGGAAAAAAAATTCTGGTAGTTTCTTTTACCTGTACATCCCAGCCTGACTGATGATTTTATGCCTTTTCCCCTGACATGACTGGAGCTTCTAATGAGGAAGGCGAGGATTGTGTAGAATACTTTCCTCATCCCCTGCTCTCTCTAGGCGTTCTGCAGTGGGATCTGGGGACATATGAGCACCGGATGTTTTTCTTGGCCATTACCACTGTTTGTAGGGAATGGATAGGCTTAGTGGAACATTCCTCGTTGTGTTCACTTTAAAAAACTGAATAGTGGCCTTGGAGAGAGCTAAAGGGTGAGGTACGAGAGAGGAAAGGGATGGTGACTGTGTAGACTTAGGAAGGAGAATTGTGCTATATGAGTATTCTTGACTTTTTAAGTGATAGTTGTGTTGAAGGAGTATGTTGTGTTTAATCCTGCAGTTTTGACATAAATGGAGGAATGATATTTTTTCATTGCCTTCTCTGCCAGTGAGTATATCCTTTTATTTTAGATAAAACAGGGGTCCTAGACCTGGCGGGTAAGGAATATGTGTGAACCAAGGTAGCCAAGTGGCTAGATCTAATTTTTTTTAAAAGAAGTTGGATGTCCACATTTTTATGTGAAATATTCCAGCTTTTAAATTTTAGCAATCAATTCAAACAAAATAAAACACAGCAGTGAGCCAAGCCCTAAAGGTAGTAGCCAGCCAGAGTAAAAAAGAAAAGAAAACGTGAAGCCAAGAGCATCTCTGCTATAGATGCCTGCCAGTGCTGTCTTGGAAAACATTAGCCATTAACATTTGCTTCAAGTGGTTACCTATATTCTGTACCTACCATGAGCAGAGGTATTAAGACCATGAAATCTGGGATCGTTGTCATGATAAAGTATCAACAGTAGAAGCCCTAGATGGGGAGATGCAGGATCCAGACACAGGATCAACCATTTCATTTGGGACCTAAGTTCCTTCTTTGTAAAAGGGTGATTTGGAATTACATGGCCTGTATCGGACTTTGTTGCTTTAACATTCTCTTATTATATGACGTCTTACGTGATCTGCCAGACATGGGAAATGGGTCTGTTTCTTGATATTCTTTCGTCTTAAGGAGCATCACACCATATCATATACCAAGCGTGGGTTCTTTGGTTTTCCACACCACCAGTGCCTGTTGGCGATAGTTATATACCCCCTTACTTACTACGTTGGTCCTTCCTCTTTTGCTGTAGATTCGGTGGAAATACATGATAGTGGACGAAGGCCACCGGATGAAGAATCACCACTGCAAGCTGACTCAGGTCTTGAACACTCACTATGTGGCCCCCAGGAGGATCCTTTTGACTGGGACCCCGCTGCAGAATAAGCTCCCTGAACTCTGGGCCCTCCTCAACTTCCTCCTCCCCACAATTTTCAAGAGCTGCAGCACATTCGAACAGTGGTTTAATGCTCCATTTGCCATGACTGGCGAAAGGGTACTGGTCTAACTTTTGTTTTTTTTCTACTGCATGACAATGAAATGAAACGGAAGTGCCTAAAACTGAGAACATTAGAGCCACAAAAGTCCACAGGGTGGTTTACAATGTCTCTGATTTTATGAAGCCGGTCAGTGGGTGGACATGGTCTCATTCCAGCATTATTTTTCCCTCCTAAGAAAATGGATCCAGTGGTGTATGGGGCATCCTAACCCCTTTGTCTTTTGCCAACATACTTACCAGGCCACAGAGAATGTTCCTGACTGATGCAGTGCTTAACTGCAGTGGGCTCAGGGAGGATGAACTGGAGATATGTGTTAAATTAATTTAACCAAACCAAATCAACCAGCTGCATACACGCTTTAAAACAAATCTCTCCTTGTTATAAACTTGGACTTCCCTTTAATGTATTTCCACATAAAGAGTTTGTGTGTAAAACAGAACTAGTTTATACTAATTTTCTGTACATGCTTTTTTCAGGTTTTGGTGTGAGCTTGTATTTTGAGTGTACATACATATTCCTCCTGGAGCAGCCATTTTCAAATTTCTTACTCTTTTTTCAGCCGTTTTCTTTTAGGGATCATTTATAAAAGGAAGGTTTAGGCCATTGTAAGAAAAGAAGTGGGCACATGTCTTTGTGATCAGTGGTTCCTTAGCTATAGGAATGAAAAGCCACTAAGAATGCTTTAGGAAACTTTATGTTTGAACTGTCTGGGCCCTTGAATTTTGAGGTACCTTGTAGGCACATTTGTGGTTTGTAAGTAAAGTCATTTGCTTGCCCGTTTGTAGAAAGTAGTGTCAGTCAACTCTGCCCCCTAGAGGTTGGTTGGTTTGTTTTGTTCTTTTTGTTCCTATTTTGAGGTGTGGTCTCCCTGTATCTCCCAGACTGGCCCAAACTCCTGGCCTCAAACAATCCTCCCACCTCAGCCTCCCTTGTAGGTGGCCTGACAGGCTCAGAGTTTATAAATAGGATTACACTTGAGCTAGATCAGGGCCAAGAAAAGGAAAGGAGATACGGTAAAGGGACTTAGAGACCCACTAGCATAAGCTGGATCTATTCTTATTCTTGTTCTTTTTATTATATGTTCAAGTCCCTGTTCCCTCAGAATGTTTCTGCCTCTGAGACAACCAAAGCTAAGGGCTTAACTTAAGGCTTCAGCTTTAAGTGGAAACACGGACCGTTGCCCCTTTTCTCTCATTCTATCTCAATCTTCAATCACCATTTATTGCCAGATGTATCCCATAAAATTTCAGGTTAACACTGCCAATCTAAAACTGGTGGCTTCTGGGCCGTTTTCCACAGAACTCAGCATGTAAGACGTGGACACCTATTTAGAGGCCATTTTATTAGCACTTGGTAGGCAGATGGGAGGAGGATTTGGAGGTGTACATAACAGGCATAAACCTGGCTTTAATACATGCAAAATTGAATGTATCGAAACACCTAATAAGTGTAACATAAAGCTTTATTATATGAAACATCCTTTTTTTTAAAAAAAATCCAATTCATATAAGGTTCTCTTATAGGTGGACTTAAATGAAGAAGAAACTATATTGATCATTAGGCGTCTACATAAGGTGTTGAGACCATTTTTACTGAGAAGACTGAAGAAAGAAGTTGAATCCCAGCTTCCAGAAAAAGTATGTTGCAAATTCAAAAGTTGTGTTTTTCCCCCCTGCAAATATATGAAGTACCTACCTGTCCCTGAAATTATGTTTCTAAAACAGCAGGCTTGTATTTTAGCCGCAGGTATCTTGAAAATATCTTAAAGTGCTTTTTTATTTGATAGGGCTAGAGAGAGAAGGGATATTACAGTATTTTCAGCCTGGTTTCCAAAAGCTTTTGGATAGATTTTATAAAATTATCAAGTTCATTGAGTCTCATTACATTTTAATTTTAGATTTTTTTTTTTTAAGTTACTGAGCTCATCGAGTTCTGCAGGCACTACAGAATTGTTCTGCTTATAAGCTAAATAAGGATTTGACTTTGGGACTTATGTCATTACTGAAGGGCATAGTAAACATTTGCCAAGTTTCCCAGAAGTTTATTCAATATTTGATGTTTGTGATGTCACCATCTGATAGTAAGTGAAAAATAGAGTTCCTGCAAATTACAAACACATCATCTCATTATTCTGGGACGTGGTTTTTGTCCTGCACCATAAAAATTAGGTTCCTGTGAACACTTGAGTATTTTTCAGATTGCTTTATGGAAACTGAGTTTTCAGTGCTTTTAGCATGTCTTTTAAGCCCTTAGCTCCATGTTTTTGGGTTGGATTTGTGTATTAGTTTAATATGTTTCTGCTCACATTTGAGTTCTGAGTTCCATGCTCTTAAAGATAGTTTAGCATTGTATACTATTTATTGCAAGAGATATTTTGATTTGAGTTGTTTCTTTAAATGAGCCAATTCTGAAATGTCTTATTTTTGCATGATTGTGGTTTTTCTGGGTAACAACTCTATTTTTGGACAGATTGGTTCATCCCGTTCATTCTTAGTGGGAGTTGGCAAGATGGTGTACAAAGTTGATCACGTTGCTAAAAGAGAATTTTATTCCCTAATCCTTTATTCATTAACAGTAAGAAAAAAATTTAAAAATAAAAAATTGTTTTTATACCATGCGTAGCCTGGTGAAAGTATAAATGTTTAAGTATTTTATTTTTTGGTAAATGCATCTTGGGTATTGAATGCTGTTGATAGTCCCTTTTCCTTCCTGTGGTCTTGGCTTCTGGGTAATGTCCTTTCTGTTCAAGGTGGAGTTTAGTTACTGAATAGATAACTGATGAATGGGCGTAGTGGTCATGTGGCTGCCTTCAGCTACTTCCTGGCATACTGTTACTGTGATCCTGCAAGTTATAGAGATGGAATGTTAAAGACTTTAATTTGCCCCATACTTTCTTTTTTTTTCTTTAGAAAAGGTATAAAATAAAAGGTTATTAACTGAAGCCCTTCATTTATTCACCTCATAAAACTTCATAATCTTGTTTATTCATTTCCAGGACTGGCTAATGTAAATTTTTAAAAACATATTATAAGTTGAAAGTAGTATGTTCTGTTTTAAGAAAAGCCATTGTAGAAAAATCCAAATTTTTGCAGCACAAAGATTATGAGATAATTAATTGTATCACAAAGGAATTCTTTACTTTATGAAAATATTTATTTTACAGTTCTTTCTGCAAGAGAGCTTCCTGACTACCCTTGAAGGATGATAAACTTTTATAAAATATGTATTTACCCTCAGATTGTCAAGAGTATGCCTCCTGCATAAATTATACTCATTAATTCCCTGAGTATTATATTAAATATAAATATATTAAATATTTCGTGTGTGGCATTATTTATGGATGCCTTTATAGGTATCCATACCTTTAAAGGTAACAACGTTACCTTTTCTTGGAGGCAACTTGGTAAAGCAGAAATCACTGGGCTCTGCCCATCAGAGTGGGCCTGGGTCCCCGCCACAGTCTCCGTCTCTTCCTATGCAAACTCGGGCAAGTCATTTAACCCAAATGGGTCTTAGTGTTCTCATCAGTGAACTGGAAAATAAATGATGTCTGCCTCATAGAATTGTTGTGAGGATTAAATGGATGTAGGGCTCATAGTACTATGCCAGGCACGTGGTGAGCACCCAAGTAGGGACAGCTGCTTCTACCATGTTCCTTATTTTCTACTCATGTTGCTGTTTCTATTATTAATGGGAGTTCCAGTTTCCTATTCACTTCAAGTTCCTTCTCACTGTTCTCTTGTCTTTGCTGTACTTTCTGTAGCCCTCTCATCTCTGTCCACGTAAACCTTTCAAGGGGTTTGTGTGAGTACATGGCTGTTGATGTAGCTTGGCTGGTGTTCATTTTCTACTTTTTCTGCCTTGTTAGGATTTTTATTACTTAGGGAGAGTTGGAAATTTAAGTGTCATCCTTGGGGGTAAGGAGGTTTTTTCTGTCACCTCCTACTTAAAGCCACAAACAACATACATGTCTTACTCAGCCTGTATAAAGAGTCCAGGAAGGCATTATGGCTGATGGCAAGAAAAGGCTAAATACTTCCAAAGCTGTAATTCTCAGATGTTTTTATGAAGAAAAGAATCAGTTAGGAAAGTGGTTTTTAATTTACTCCTTTTGGTATATAGTTTTGAGTTTTGACAATTGCATAGAGTTATATTAACCACGCTCACAACCAAAAATACAGAACAATTCTATCACCCAGCCCCCCAAAAAACATTCCCTGGTGCTACCCTTGTTTAGTCAAACACTCCTTCTACTTTTAGCCTCATGCAACCACTAATCTGTTCTCCATCCTATAGCTTTACATTTTCCAGAATCTGGAATCTGACAGTGTAACCTTTTGCATCTGATTTCTTTCATTCAGCATCATGTGTTTTTGGATTCATCCAAGTTGCTGCATGTATCAATAGTTGGTTCATTTTTATTTCTGAATCATATTCTATTATATGGTACACCACAGTTTGTGTATCCACTTAGCTGAGGAACATTTGGGTTGCTTCTAGTTTTTGATGATTATGGATAGAGCTGCTATTAATATTTGTGTACAGGTTTTTGTGTAAACATAGGTTTTCATTTCACTTGAATAAATACCTAGCGGTGTGATTACTTGGTCATATGGTCAATGCATACATAACTTTGTAAGAAACTTACACACTGTTTTCTCAACTGCCTGAACTACTTTGTAGTCCTATCAGCAATATATGAGCATTCTAGTTCCTCCACATTCTCATCAGTACTTGGTATTGTCAGTTTTCCAACATTTTTAGCCATTTCAATAGGTATGTAGCGGTATTTTGTAACTTTAATTTGCATTTCTCCAGTGTCTGATGTTGTTGAGCATCTTTTCATGTTCTTTCTCAGGTGAAACTAAAGCAGGCATATAAAGTCCACAATCTGACAAATGTAGCTCTTCTACATGGGAAAATTAGTTTTAATATTAGTCTAATGAAACACCTAATGAGCAAGGGAATGCACTGTGCCCCCCCCCCATGACCAAGCTGCTGGTACAACATCCATTTCTTGTACTCAAGAAAGAGTGCTACCTCTTATACACTCCTGGAAAGCACTGGAACACATTCTACTAAGCAAGGTATCCCAGGAATGGAAAAACAAGCACCACATGTACTCACCATCAAATTGGTATTAGCTGATCAACATTTAAGTGCACATATAAGAATAACATGTATTAGATGTTGGGCAGAGGGAGGGGGGAGGGGTGAGGAGGGGACGGGCATATGCACAAACAATGAGTGTGATGCCCACCTCCGGGGGAATGGACACACTTGAAGCTCGAACTTGGCGTGGGGGGAGGGTAAGGGCATCATACGTAACCTAATCATCTGTGCCCCCATAACATGCTGAAATAAAAAAAAAAAAAAGAGTGCTAAATAGAAAAGGGATTATATAAAAACAACTTAAGCTAAATGAACATTGATTTTTCGATTTAGCTCCTATTTAAGGTTGTCCGTGCTGCCTCTTTTGTTAATTCATATCATCAAGAACCATCAAAATGTTAAATATGGTTATCTCTAGGTGGTGGGATTGTAGGTGTATTTTATTTTCCCCTTTGTTACTTAATTCATTTTCCAAACTTTATAAGTATAAATCAGAAAATAATTTTATAAGCAATATTGAATATTCTTCACTGGCTTCACCCTCATTTCCAAGATAAGCTCCGACTCTTTAGCTCGGTAAGTAGGGTTCTTTGGTAATTGTAATTGGCTGTGTATATATTGATGTCTAACTCTGCTAAAATACATATATTGTGTCTGAGGTTAACTGGAGGTTGACCTACCTAAAATCAACATTGATTCTTATATAATTTGTGTGAAACACCGAAAAAGCTTTGTTTAGATGGGCAGTTTATGTATTCATTATGTAAAGGTTTGTAATGGTTAGTATAATTATCATTACTTTGTTCCTTTCTCATGCCATAGATTCCAGAACCCAGTACATCCATAAATTGAATTGTATTGTTTAAAAAAATCTCAGTTCACAAAGTGGTAACATATTACACACAGTAGTCTAGGTTTATTGTTCCAATAATACGCTGTTTCGGAAGGGAAAGCGTAAATGAAGAGTAGTATGCAGGCAGACACTACGAATAAAGCTCAAATATTTCTAAGGATTACATGAGAAGAGACTCTGGGCCAATATAATCCCCTCATTTGGGTACTTGTAGGGACCAATGAGGCCATTTACTAAAATACGAATCCTTAGGTCATGTACCTGAGGCTAGCACCTCAGCTATACATGTAATTTGAACAAAAATACCTCCATTGGCTCTCGTCATTCCTGTTAGGAAGTCACAAAGTTCATTTGCTGCAGCCATAGTATATTTTCAGATGCTTTCACATTCCTGCTCTCAACAGGTGCTATCACATTTTTTGGTGGGCAGGGTGGGGGTGAACTCAGACCCAACAGAGTTGAAGTTGGCATGATTATTGTAGAAACCCCTCTCCCCTCATCACTGTCAGCCAGCGTGTCTATTTTAGTGCATCCCTTTTCCCCACACACAACTATCGATTGCCAACTTCATGCACCGTACTCGGCTGGGTGGGAGGTGCAGGGGCGACACCAGAAAAGGGACGCATGGTGTGAGAGGTCGGCAGCCTTGGCCATGGAGATGAGGTCTACTCACGCCGAATGATGGTGCCGCGGCAGTGAAAGGCAACGTCGTCATTGAAGTATTCTAGGGCAGGGGTCTCCAGTGCGCACACCTGGGTCTGTGTGTGGGAGAGGTGCCTACTAGTAATCTGTTATGTTTGAACAACCATATATATTTTTCTCTTAAAAATTTAAGCTTTATTGGTATTTGATGTACAGATACTTTGTGGTAGGTATATACATGTCAGAAAGCCAGTTGTGTGCCTGCAGTAGACTGTGTAGGTTATCTTAGAGAAAGCCTGAGAGAGGACCTCCCCCACCTGGAGCATCTGGCAGCCCGTTCATCCTCCCTGCCTGCTTCATTTACTTTCTACCTACTGTGAGGCATTGTGGGTTTCCCTGTATCCAGACAAGGGGATTGAGTATGATCTGATTTTAACTAAACTAACACCCCTGCTCCCCAGAAGGGCTTAAAAGGATTCTGCAGAGAAGTGTGGATTGAAAACAAGATGAATAATGTAAGCCTAGGTGAACAATGGGAAAAAGGCCATCCTGCCTCTTCTCCTGTTCCTAGTGTGGGTTTTCATCAACTGCATCATAGGGTAATTGGGCTGGAATTGACCAAAAATATTAGATATCATCAAACTTGGCACCTTGAAATATGGATGTAAATCAACTGCCTTTAACATTGATCTCTGCCCCCAAAGTAACTCATATCTTGACATTAGTATTAGTACATGCATATCGTAATATATAAATAAATATATAGACAGATATTGGGAGATGTGCTTTAGCATATCTTTGTGATAGGGCAGTCCCATCAGAAAAGCTTACTGACCAACTTCCTTGAGGGAAATGACAGGGAAATTGGCTTTGGCTGATAGGCTAATTGCGGAAGGTCTTAAACACAGCCCTTAAGGTAGAGTAGGATTTAGAAAGGAGCCCGAAGACTAAGGACATCCCAGGCTTGAAGAAAAGTACAAAAACAAACCAAATAGCTTGGAGTTGTTTGGGAAGGTTCTAGAAACAAATATAAAATATAGTTGTGAATTTTATAGCCGTGATTGTGATCATGTGTATCAAACCAGTTTCTATTATCCCCTAATTGTGTGAGGAAGGAGACTTCACCTTTTAAGAGTAGCTGTCAGATCCTGGAGGGGAGCTTGCCTCTCTGCTGTTTTTCTGAGGATGCTTGGCATCCCCATCTCCATGGCATCATCATGCATGTCTCCGGCTTTCCAGACTCACCTTCACCTCTTAACAGTAGCTGACTGATGGGAAGGGAGTTGAAGGTTTTGTCCCTAATTCTGGATCTGCCATCCTCTAAAGCACTGAAAACAACCATCAGCCATCTCTTCCACACTCAGGAAGGTTTGAATAAGCCAGCAGGGAGGTTCAGGTTCAGGTGAACATCCGGCAGAGATAGGAAGCCTGAAAGTCTCCTTGGCCATCCTTAGCATGGAGCTTAAAAGAGTGGACTCTGTTTCAAATCCTAACTGCACCAATGAATACTGTATCATTTTGGGCCAGTAGCTAAACCTCTCTGATGCTCAAATTCCTTATCTATAAAATGAGGACACTAAATGTGACTGTCTCAGTAGAGCTCTGGTGGGGGGTAAATGAGAGAAGGCACATAAAGCACTTTGCACAGGGCCTGGTGCACAGAAAGAGCTCAATAATATTAGTCTTTGATGTAGTTTTTATTATTATTCCTGTTAAAGTCTGAAGTTAACATTTTTCTTCACTGTGATCAAATTTCTTTGTGAGTTAACAGTCCTTGAAAAAGTAGGATAGTGGTAATCATTTCACAATGTCTGTATATATCAAATTATCACATTGTACACCTTTAATATATACAATTTTTATTTGTCAATTATACCTCAGTAACGTTGGAAAAAAATAAAATTTTTTACAAAAGAAAAAGGAGAAATACTTTAAACATATAACACAATCAGGTGCCTAAAACACAAAGCCTATACTAAGTGCATATTTATTTATTAAACTTGGAGATTTTTTTTCTCCTTGGCCAAGGTCATTAAAAACTAAAGCATGTTTTGGTTGGTTACTTGCTCGTCTTTAACTTTTCTGCAGAAGAGCAAGTTTTTCTGTAATCTGATTTGATGCATTAAAATGAGTGGCAAAAGACTATTAATTGTGGTTCTGTCTGGCCTAACGGGTTTCTTCTAGAGCAACAATTGAATGAATATTCAACTTCTTTTCAACTGTGACCTCCTGTCCCTGGCCTTCAGAGCTGAAAAGAACCTGATCATTCTTAATCAGTTTATTAAACATTAGTCAGCTTGCTGATTTACTTTTAATCACATTCTGCATATTTCTAGCCATTAATCTGATGTTTATTATGAAAATTACACATTTGTATTCTTGGGATTTTTTTTAATAAAGAAAAACAATAATAGGAAATAATCACAGCAGATTTTATGCATTAGGAGTGTGGTAAAGCACTGCAGGTGTGTGATAAACCATGAGCACGTGAATTCCCTTTAACTGCTTTAAATTAGATTTTTGTGGTATTTCAACTTGCACAGGAGGCCTTGTCCTCCTTTGGATGTTCATAAGGTTTTGTCCAATTGGGATTAATTTCTCTCCTCCACCTGTTGTCCTCACTAGGTTATATATCCCGTCATTTCTCAAGAGCAGAGGTTAATGACAGTCATCTTAGGGCTGCTATAAATCTCATTTTAAGACTAGTATTGGGGATGGCCACATGTGACCATTTAAGAAATGTTTTACAAAGAAAATCATAGGATATTGGCCAGTCACTGCTTTTCCTAAAATCATTCTGTTCCTATTAAAGGGTATAGTTGGAAAGCAGGGGAAGTACTAAAAATACCCTATATTGAACATTTTTTAATTCGAACAGCCATTCTCTCTCTCAAAGATGAAACCATGAAATTTCAGAAAACATGACTCTAGCTTCAATTATATATAACCGTATGAAGGACCCACCCTCCTAATCATACCTCTAATAATAATGACCCTGATCTCCTCTACCACCTGCAACCCCCCTCCACC